AGCGTTTCATTTGTGTATGTTACATTTCCATTATATCAAAGTTCATTGTAGTCGTCGTCCTCAACACCATAGTGCAGCCGGTCGGAGGGAAAGAAAGCTGACGAGTACATTGTTTCTTGTCACCTGTGCATCATTATTAACTTTTCTACCAATACTTATTTGGGAAAGTACGATTACATTTCATGTCATGGCCTTTCTAAAATGGCCCACAATTTTTCAAATTTCCATCACCATACTAACATTATTCTTGGCCAACTCGCTATTAAATCCTATACTCTATGCAGTGCGGATGCCGGAATTTAGGGCAGGTATATCGAAAATGATATTCTGCAGCACGCCCCAAGTCCAGCGTAATCAGGCCGAATATCCACTTCGTAATCTTTAGTTTAGAGTCCGGTTGAATAAAGGGCGGAGAACGCTATCCAATCGATAAATCGCTATCCAGTAATAACCCAACGTACTGTGCTATCTCCTAGATAGAGTTTTATCCAGTGGATAGCGTTACCCAACCTTCAAACAACCGGGTCGTTGTCGACACTTCCCTTCATTCTTCTCAGAATAGCTTTGATCCAAAACTGTAAATGCAATATACAACATGGTTTAGCGATTTAAAGAATCTGCAAAGCTGTAGTTTTCATTATCACTTTTAAAATTTTTCTTTGTCGTTAAACATGTTCTGAGTTTAGTCTGACTTGAATAAAAATCCCCAAGTCATTTATACAAAACTGAGAGAAAAACAACGAGGGGTACAACACGGATCCAGCGCACTATCATTAACATAAATGATGAACAGCAAGTTGGTTATTTTAATCGATTCGTATCTATCCTAATGTGCATTCATCTGAAATACAGATATCGATTGTTGTGTACGACAAGTTAGTAGAGTGAAACAAGTAAGATACAAGCAAGATCTTTTTGTGTGTGCTTGTCAACTTCTTAAACAAAACACTAAATTATTGCATAGCGCAAAGTTAGTATGATATTTTTCTTTACTAAGCTCAAACTTGCAATCTTTCTTACTCTATTTACAGAACAACGTATTGCTTACACTTAAGAAAAAACGATTTATATAGCTAGTGTTACTGCGTTGTTTTTTTCCTTCCTTCGGCATTAACGGAAATAAATTGTTTTATTCTCGTTTATTCGTATATTCTATTTTCACTTTCACTATGCTGGTACTTAACAAGGAAAACACACGTTATTGGTACGGGTACGAAACGACTAAACTGAGTAGGTACAAAGAGACATCGATGGGTACCAAATAACTGAGTACGAAACGACCGTAGGTACGAAACAGCTGGTAACCGAAAAAGCAAGGAATTATCAAGCAGAACTTTTAAAAATGTGTGCACTTGTTAATTTCTCCCTTGTAAGCAAACAACACTTTACCCTTGGGAGGCTTTTAGTCAACCTTAGTAAATTGCGTTCATGTACCCGTAATTCAGTCCTTTATTGACTCTGAAATTTTGTTTAGCACTAACTCCAAGAGTTTTAGGAGTAGATTTTCTCTCGCTGTTTACGAACGCTTCACTGTTTTGAAATCGTGTTCAGTTGACGCTAGCAAATTTTGCAGTGTACGGCTTACGAGAGCTAAATTCACCGCGACGCCGATAAAGATATGTTGAGCTACAAAATGACAAAAGCGACACGCACTTACGTTGTCTCCAACTGTATTTGCGCGTAATTTTCCTTTGTCGATACGCTGTCAAAGGCGCGCTCGCGGGAAATTTTGGGTAGAAAGCAATACTTTATGAAGTTCCTACGGCAATACTAACTATGACTGGGGATGTAAAAGAGCGAAACGTTTATCTTTGTTTACTAAAACCTGGATGCAACAGACATTCTGTATTAAGAATCATCAGACAAGGATCCCACGCGTGTCTGCTACTCTGCTTACTTGAAAAGGTTTTATCGCTATAGGGACTGAGATGGGAAAAAAGCACAGAAAGTCTTAACGATGAGTTTTGATGTTATCTTCACGTTCCCGTTTTCTACTCACAAAAGTCAAGGAGTGAGTGATCATGTGTGGGATTAACTTGACTATTTACATAACCAGCAGGGAAAATAATCGGACAAATTAGCACTAATTGTCCGTGTTGTCACAGTTGAAAAAAATGGGTGCAGATATCTCCCTCCAGAATTATCGAGTTGCTTTCGCGCCTATTCTTCCCACTTTAAACGAGCGATAAGAAACAGTCCGTTCAATTGATTATCGTCGGCCTAACGGTTTCGTGTACCACCTAATATCAGTTAAAACTGAATTGAGACAAGTCACCTGGGGCAGTTAATATATTCCGATGTTAATTGCATGGTGTTTGGGCGCAAAGAAAGGCA